GTCCACTGATGTGATCATTTTACCAGTTTGAGTGACATATAGACATGTTACCTCCTATTAGGGTCCTTTACCCAGTTTATAGTATAATTGTGTTAAAATTTTCTCTATATATATTTACAACCACATCAGAAGCTGTAAGAATTTTTGTGTCCACTTTACAACACAACCTAGAAAACTCCAGGTAAGGAGGAAAGCCTGTGGTACGGACCATGGTGCTTCTTTCATGTCCCTGAGGATCTGAGTTTCCTTCTTTCATTGTTTCTGTTTAGAGAATTTCCTGTAGTCATTTAAAAAAATTATTTATTTTTTAGTTATAGATGAATACAATATCTTTATTTTATTTTTATGCTCAGAATTCTCTATCCCTGGAGCTAGTTCTGAGCTCTAGGTGCAGACACATGTACCTGGGTGCATCTGCACAGAGCCTTTTCAGGCTGGGCATCACCATAGCAACTGGACAATCTTGATCTGCACTTTGCACAGGAAGTTCCCAGCACAAACGCAGCCATGAGGCCAACAGAGATCATGATCCAAGCCACCGCTCTCCACACCAGGCTGTCTGAAAGTCTTGACTCTCCACTAGGCCTCTTCTGATACCACCCCAGAGAGAAAGGAGCAGAACATCTCAGGACTGCCAAGTCAGGTGGCCCTGCTGTCACTCAGAAGGAGACCTTCATTATAAGCTGGTTGGAATGTGTGTGGCAGGGGTTATGACAGACTGGCCAGCATGGAAATCTAGGGTTCTCCACTCAGCCTTGGCTGGTACGGGTACAGGTGGGACCACAGGGTTTTTTTTTTCATATATATATATATATATATATATATATATATATATACATATTTTTTTTTTTTTTGTCAGAGTAGAGTAGTATTGTCTATAAATTTTCTCTGTTGCCAGCATGTCCCATGTCCCTTTCCTGATCTTCTGGCTAGAGATAGAGGCTTTGTTTGTTGTTTGTTATTTTTTGTGTGCATTGGCATTTCCAGGTTGTGAGCTTTCTCACCTCCAGGTATGCAATAGATAAGGTGAAACAGAAACCCAGGAAGCTTACCACCGAGTGTTGCTCAGGTCCCATGTCCCCTAGCCAGCCAGCCTTCTTCTCTCCAGTTCTCAGGGTTTTCTTGAATTTGTTTCACATATAACCTCCAGCATTATTAGTGGTACTTCGTGGGAAGAAGAGGATAATACAGGCCTTCTGTCTTTTCCAGAAGCAGAATAGCCTATTCCCTTTATAAAAAAAATCCATAAACACTATTTTTGCTCTGCCCTTGAATTAAGCAATTAATATCCATTAAACCACAGGTGTTATGGTGGTGGTTGTTGTTGAAGTATAATTGACCTGTAATGAACCTCGCATATTTAAAATATGCAATTTGATGGGTACACACCCACGAAACCACCAGCACCATCCAGAGAGTGAGCACATCCCTCCTCCCAGAGCTGCTCCCCCTCCTCATGTTCTCTGTCATCACTCCCTGCCCCTCCCCACCAACCTCCAGCCAGCCATTTGCTGTCTGCCTCTATATATGAATTTGAATTTTTAAATGATCTTACAGATGTAGCCATGCGTCACTTAACAATGGAGATATGCTCTGAGAAATGCATCCTTCCGAGATTTTGTTATTGCGGGAACATCATAGAGTTTACTTACACAAAATAAGATGGCTACAACCACACCAGGCAATAGCATCTTATTTATTTGTCTTTTTTTGTTTTTGTGATGGTGCTGGGATTAAACCCAGGGCCTCATGCATGTCAGGTAAGTGCTTTACTACGGAGCTACATCTCCAACCCCTAGGCAATTCAGTCTTTCTGGGACCACCACTGTAGATGGAATATTGGTTCACAGTGCATGACTATATATACATCATGTGGGACACAAGTCAGCAATAAAAGGATCCAACTCCCAACCAATGCAACAAAATCGATGAGTCTCAAAGGGATTATGACTAGTGGAAGTGAAAGAAGCCAGAGTATATATGGTATGACTCCATACACACATATGCACGCATATATACAACGCATAGACGATCTGTCACAATATTTATATTTCATCTACATCACAATATTTTATTTTTATCTCCATCTCTATCTATCACATCTCGACCTGGAACTGTTTCATTCATGCGCTACCTAAAATGAGGAATTCTAAAACTACTACTATGAAAAACCTTCCCAACTCCCATCTCCACATCTGCACTCGGCAGTTCTCCTGTGGGTGTTCATTCAATCCTGGGTGTGGGTGAAGGTTGAGGGGAGGGGAGGCCACTGGGAATTACTGGGAAAAGACTGAAATGGAGATGAGAGTTGCATCCCAGCTACAGCCCGCCATCCTTCTATGAAGCCATTGGCAGGCCATGCCCCCTCTTGGAACCCCGGCGCCCTGGTGTTTACAGTCACGGGGGTGGGCCCGGGTTGCCCCTTAATCCACAGCTGCTGGCCCTCTCTGTCGGCATCGCTGATGAAGGAGGGCAGTGCTGGGGACTCAGCTCATGAGCGGGGTCCTCGGCCCCAGTGTCAGCTCAGCATTGACGCTAGGCCTGGGGTCGGGTCGGAGTGGGGTCACCCGGTCCCCAGCTGTGCTTGTTCTGCTGGATCCTCTGGCTCAAGGTTGCTGAGCTAAATGCCTGCTGTCCTGGGGAACTCACACGCTACCCCAGCCTCAGAGGCCCCTCTCGAGGTCCCCAGCCCTCGCGGGCAGACGATTCATTTTATGACATTTTCATTCCCCAGCTGACACTCGCTCTCGCTCAGGAGACCAGCTTTCCCTCCTGCCCGAGCATCAGCAGAGCTTGCAGCCGCTCCGGGTGCTGGCTCCTGCCCAACTCAGCTGAGAGAGGATGAGCTGGAGTGGTCGAGGCTGAGCCAGCGAGCTGCGTCCTCCTGGGCAGCATCTAGGTAAGGCCGAGAGGTGCCACGGCGGCCCAGGCCCAGGCCCAGGCCCAGGCCTGGCACGAGCACCAGAGTGGCCTGTGGGTCTTCCCTTTCAGGCCTGCCCTTCCCTCCTCCTTGCCGGCTCTCCTGCCCTCCTCTGCTGGGAGGACCCTCCAGGCCCCACGTGCTGCCTGGGGAAACTGAGGCAACGGGTAGGAGACGAGGGAGAAGGTGAAGCCAGCTCCCTGAAGCTTCTAGAGGTCGGGCTCTGGAGACCAGGAGGATCCTGGGCAGAGAAGGGCAATGCTCAAGAACTCGGGTTCTGGGGCTGGGATGGGGCTCAGTGGCAGAGTGCCTGCCGAGCCTGCGCCAAGCTCCAGGTTGGAGTCCTTGTACCGCAGAAACCAATCAACAAGAGTTTAGGGTGCAGCCAGGCGCAGTGATGAACACCTATAATCCAAGCAGCTCGGGAGGCTGAGGCAGGAGGATTGTGAGTTCAAAGCCAGCCCCAGCAAAAGCAAAGCTCTAGCAACACAGTGAGACCCTGTCTCTAAATCAAATACAAAATAGGGCTGGGGATGTGGCTCAGTGGTTGAGTGCCCCTGAGTTTAATACCTTGTACCCCCTACCCCATGAAAGAAAGAAAGAAAGACAGAAAATCAAGCAAGTACATCACATATGTGCTGCTAACACTGAAGAAAAAGCTCCAAGGCTTTTGCTAAAAAGATGCTCAGCAAAGCCAGGTGTGGGGATGGGGATGTGGCTCAAGCGGTAGTGTGCTCGCCTGGCATGCGTGCGGCCCGGGTTCGATCCTCAGCACCACATACAAACAAAGATGTTGTGTCCGCCGAGAACTGAAAAATAAATATTAAAAAAAAAAAAAAAGCCAGGTGTGGTGGCGCAGGCCTGTAATCCCAGCAGCTTGGGAGGCTGAGGCAGGGGAGTCATGAGTTCAAAGCCAGCCTTAGCAAAAGCGAGGAGCTAAGCAACCCTGTCTCTAAATGAAATACAAAATAGGACTGGGGATGTGGCTCAGGGGTCGAGTGCCCCTGAATTCAGTCCCCAGTACCCACCATCATCAAAAAAAAAAGAGATGCTTAGCAAGCGCTAGAGAGGTGCTAAGTCAACTTGGCCACCCGTCCAGGACATCTTTCTTGACAACAGCCAGGGGACTGGGAGACTGGCTTTCTGGAGTTCCACCTGGTGTGGGTTGAGACCGTTTTGTGGAGACCGACACCATTCTGTCCACCAATGTGGTGTGACATTGGGGACACTGTACTAGCTCACTGAACATCCCAGCAGCAATCTCGAGGAGGGGAGCATCCTCATTTCACAGGCAGAGAAACTGAGGACCCCGGAAATACAGGAGTCGCACCAGGAGTTGACCTGGTGACCATGGAGACTGTCAGGTCTTGGCCTCACCTGGAGGTTCAGGGGACCTGTCCATGTCACCCTCCACCCCCACCCCACAGAGCCTCCTGCAAGGTCCCCACTGGCTCACGGCCAGGTCTCCTCTTGGGAAGAGGGACGACTTGGTAGAGCCAGACCTGGGGTAGGGATGAGAGGTGGAGCCAGTCGCGTCCCAGGATCCCAGGCGACATGGAGGCAGTCATCAGACTGGTGAATTCTTTTCAAATGACGATGGTGAGAGGCTGGCGAGAGCTGGCCCTCAGCCGTACAGGGCCCTGACATCCGGGTCACTTGACCAGTTAAGATGAGGCCTTGTCCTATCTCCCTCCTCCAGCTCCACAGTGACACAAACCAGTCTCTCCAGGAAACGTCACATCAAAGGAGACCTACCAGGGGACCTACTGGAGGAGAAGCCGGTGGAGAGGAAGGACATGGCCCCCAGACTCCCCCTGCTTCCTCCCACGGAGGCCAGGCAGGGCAGACGTCAGCTGGGCTCAGGAAGGAGGCCTAGGAGGACATGCCGGTCCCACCTCCGAGCACAGGACTCTCTCTGGGCACTTCCCCCCACGCTGCCCCCTGAGCGCACTGTGAGCCGCTGACAGCAGGTCCCACACGCTGTGCCCACCCGTGGGGAAGGCAGCTGAGAGCCTGGGCCCGCCCCTCCCCTCCCGTCAGTGATTCATGGGTTCATTCAAAGATTCCGAGCACTTACTCTGTGCCAGGCGCTGGGCCCTGGGGACACGGTGGTCTATAAGAACAACACATGCCCTTGAAGAGTTCATGGCCTAGTTAAGTGACAGGCATTGATCCTGACACTCCACGGCTGCAGGCATAACTGTGAGATGGGCTGAGAGGAAGGGAAAGAGCTACATGGTGTTGGAGGAGATATAAGGAGACCTAATGCGTCTGGGAGGACTGACTGAGGCAGTGACTCAAGGTGAGAGCAAAACAGCAGCGAGTTAAGCAGGCCAAGAGGGGAGGGAGGGTGGCCTGGGTTGAAGGGACTGCATGGGCAAAGGTCCTGTGGCAGAAGACAGTCTGGTCTGTAGAAACAGGGGTGGTCCACATGGCAGAGCACAGAGGGAAGAGGGAAGCGTGGTGCTTGGCCAGACTGGCTGTGCGGGGTCTCAGAGGCCAATTCAGGGTTCAGTCCCCATCTTAAGAGTAACCGATGGCTAGTCACAGGTGCTAACTTGCATTTTGAAAAACATATTTTTGGCTGCCCTTCGAGAATAGAGAGAAAGTCCTGCCTAGGATTGGGGAAGCGAGACAGGAAGCCAGGGCAGGCCTTGCAGGAGAGGGGAGAGGGTTAGAGGCCAATCTCAAGGATTTTCAGACAAGTGTCCCTGAGTCCTTGGTGATGGATCGCCAGGAGTCAGGACTGAGTTCAGGAGAAGGAAGAATGCAATGACCCCAGACTAACCTGGCAGTGCCCGTGCCTCCACGCACAGCGAGAAATCCAAGCCCCCTGGCGCACTGTTTTCAAAGCTGATTTTTCTCTCCTTCCCTCCCTGGGCTTTGACAAGGTGTGTGTGGTGTGCCCCTGGAGAAAGCCCCTGTCACTCACTCATTCCACCAGCCCTGATCACTGGGCCCTCAGCTGTCTGTATTTTTGCTTTTGTAAACAATGCCACAATGAGCATTTGTGTGGCTGAGTATTCGCACCCACATTTACAGATTACAGGTGCCCAGAGACGCCCCTGGGGTAGATTTCCATAACTGTGCCCATTGTCTCGGCAGCATTTCGCTGGTGGATGGAGGGAGCCTTTCCAATGCCTAAGGTCAACGCTGCTCTACCTTTAATATCTGGTACCTGGAGAATAAAAAGCCCAAACCTGTTGAGCAAGGCTCTATGAAGCCCCCAGATCACTCCGATGCTCTGTGCCTGCCTCCTCCGTGGGCTCCAGTTCTCCCCCAGACGACAGATGGCTCTGTAGGGGTGAAACGCTATTGCTCAGCCAACAGATGAGCCTTGTGACCATGTGGGTTTGGGGACCCTCTTGCTGTGGCTCTGAGCCCCCCCACAGGGCCTGGGACTTAGGGACACCTGGGAAGTCATTCCCCTCCAGTTTGTTCATTCTTCGGAGGGAAGAGATGGAAGCCGGAGGGCTGCTGAGCTGGGAGGACTGGGGAAGGCAAGGAGGGGACACTGTGGGATGAGGCCAGCCTTCTGGGGGACAAGGCCACGGCTTAAAGGCTGGGGCACTGCCTTGGGGATCCAGCCTGTGGTCATTTCCTGAAGCAGGCAGCCCTGTCCCTTGGCAGCAAGACCAGCTGCCTAATTTGTGGGGCCCAGATTAAAATGAAGGTGTGGGACCCCCCTTTCCACATTGCTAACAATTTCAAGGCAGCAGCAACAGAGCATTAGACCAAGTGCTGGCTCTTGGAAGGGCAGAGCCCCTGTGACCTCGTAGCCACCTGCCTGTCCTGGAAGCCGGTCCTGCCTGGAAAGGGTCTCCACCCTCCTCATGGAGCAGCAGAGAGGAAGTGGGGGAAGAAAGGACCAAGGGCCAGCCAAGCCCAGCCCTGGCCCACTGCCGCACAGCCAGGGACCCCCAGGGCAGGTGCACCCAGAGCACCTGGGGGGCCATTAACCCTGTGAACCTGACTCATGGGTGGCCTCGGGTAGCAGGACTGAATCCTCTGAGGAATCAGGAGAAGGCGTGGAGACTAGCCGCGTGCACAATGGCGGCACTTCCTGCGCCCTCACATGCACCTGGGTCTGTGCTTGGCCTTCAGAGCCACCCCTCTGGACTGGAGCCTGTGTCCCCCAGAGAGGGGGAGGGTAGAGCCCAAGCAGCCGGCCTGCCACTCACTTGCTCTTCTTGTCCACGTCTCACCCCATCCTGCAAGGGACCAATGGCGATGGGGACCTAGGGGAGGAGCCTGGGGTCCCAGTTCCCACAGCCACCACCCTCTGCCCCACCTGCCTGCACGAGGTGGGGTCTGGGCAGGGGTGTGCAGGAGCGAGTGTGTTCTGGACAAGCAGGGGCCCCCCCTTCCTCAGGGCAGTCGGCCCCCACCTGCCGGCCTCCAGAGCCAGGGCCAAGGCCACGGCCACGTCTCAGCTCCTGGCTGGCCCTGGCTGCTGGTCCCTGGCGCCTGGGTTAGTGTTTTCGAATCAGCCACGCAGCAGCCCTTCCACTCCATCCGGGTTTGCTCTTCCATAAAAAAATTAATGGTCCCTGCAAATAAATAAGCACAACAACGCAGGAAGGCTTTTTAGACAATCAATTAAAAGCCTGGGAGAGGGATTATCTCATTGAAATATCAATTTTTAATCGCGCTGCATCTGTGAGTTTCCTCTCAAAAAAACTTTGTGCGGTGCGCTCGCCGTCTTGTTGCTCTGACTCGGCTCCCTGCTGAGCCTCTGGGCAGGCCTCTGGGCACCCGCCTGGAGCCGGGGCCTGCGGGGAGCCGGAGGCTCACTCTCCATTCACCCAGGGCTTGGCGAGCTGGCTGTGTGCCAGGCAGAGGGGCTGGTACCCCGGCGAGCGCGGGCGCAGGAAGCGGGCACTGGTCAGGGGGGAGATCAGGAAGGTGAAGTCATCTGGAAAAGTAAATGTCAAGAGACAGAACTGGGGGCTCACGGGGACCTGGGAGCACAGGAGCGGGGGAAGCGTTTGCCACTTCTTGCCCTTGGGGAGTGGCCTTTAAAAGGAGACCAGAGGGTGTGAAGGGAAGCTGACCCAGGCAGAAGGAACAGCACACCCGGTGGCCCTGAGGCAGGAAGGGTGATGGAGGAGTGGAAGGAAGGCCGGGGCGGAGACACGGTGAGTGAAGGGACAGTGGGACACGGTTGGAAGGGCCACCATCCAGACCTCCGCGGTCCTGGAGGCCAGGGAAGGGTGTGTGGTCCCTTCAATGAACCCCGTGAGCCTCTGGGAGTGGCCCTAGTTCGAGTCCTGCTTCTTAGCTGCGGTGAGGCCGGGGGGGGGGGGGGGGGGGGGCTGCTGCAGGCCTTACCTTGGCTTTCTCACCTGCGAGGCCCGTAACAACGTGACCACCCTGGGCTGCGGCGGTAGCCCAAGAAACCACAGAGGCCGATTCCCAGGCTGCACCTCTTTTCTCTGGGCCCCACCCCTCTTAGCTTGGCAGCATCTTCAGCTCCCCCCTTGGGGATGGGATCAGATAAGCTCTATCTGATGCAATATTCCCACAGCCAAGTTCCCAAGGAGCTCATTCCACACCTGACTCCAATTTAACAGGGAAGGGAGTGGGCGGGAGGGGGGGGGTGGCCCGGAGAAGACACAGCTGCCTGCTCTCTGAGGTGACAGCCCTTCCTGCAGTGAAGAGCCCCCAGGCCTCAGGGGGAGGCTCCTGGGATTGGCTGGGGCAGGGGAGTGGCTGGGTGGGGCCAAGTCTGCAGCCGCAGATGGGGGACAGTGGATCCCTGGCCCAGCTGAACAAATGCACTTTCCCCACCTGGATAATGGGGGGTGGCGGGGACACTGGTCAGGACAGGTGCCCTTGGACAACCAAGGGCGGACGAACAACTGCACCTCTGGGGTCTTGACCCCTCCTTCTACTCCCCACAGAACACCCCCAGATTACAACCGTGGACACTGAGGCTCAGAGGCCGAGCTTCTTGCTTCGTTAGCAGGGAGGAGAACCCACATAGGGTTGGGGTGCCCTCTCTAGAGTTTTTGTAAATTTATTTCTTGGGTGCTTGCACACACTGGGCAAATGGTCCATCACGGATCTATATCCTCCGGAGTTATTTTAATAAAGGGGCAACGGATTAAGATCCTATTGGAGGGGCTGGGGTCGCGGCTCCGTGGTAGAGCGCTTGCCCAGCATGTGTGAGGCCCTGCGGTCAATCCTCGGCACCACATATACATAAATAAAATAAAGGATTTTAAAAAAATCCTATTGGGAGTATCTGGGGTTCCCAGGATGCAGTTGCTAGGCACACTGGGAGAAGCCATGTGGCTCACTGTTTGCAACTGGGTAACGAGGATGGGTGAGACTCGGGATGAGGAAGGGCTTGCGGAGTGATCTAGGGGCACAGGGCTTGGGGACGTCCCTCCAGCTCCTTGGTGCCCCTTTGGCTCTGTCCCCCACTTCCCTGCCCCTCCTTCCTCTTCTCCCTGGCACCTACCCAGAACCTGCTGGGACCAGGCTCAGACCTGAGCTGAAGGCTGTAGCCCCAAATGCCAGCTCTTTGAGTTGACGGGATTTGAACCCTATTCCTGTCACTTGCTGGTGGGTCCTGTCCCTCTCTGGACCTCAGGTTCCCCATCTCCCTGTCGTCCATCTCCTGGGCAGCTGTGAAGATTGCTATTCTGTGGCAGAACAGAGAAGCTTGAGCCCAGCTGACCCTGTCCCTCCCCTCATGGGGAGATTCCGGTTCCTGCAGGCAGGACCCCTATCCCTGTCCTCAAGAGTGGGGCAGTCCAGGCATGTCCCTAAATCCCTGTGAAGGCATCTGGTGTCCAGTCTGACCTGGCCATGAGCAGTTGAAGAGACGGTGCTGGGGAAGCTGGGGTGAGGGGGCCCACCCAGGGCCCGTCTGGACTGTATCTCAGAGTGACAGGCACCGAGAGCCCTGGGAGAAAGTGCTCCAGGGTGAGCCAGCGTCTGGGCGCACTTGTGGGGCCGTGGAAAGCAGCTGGTCCTCTGATTGGAGAGGGGGAGGCCAGGGCTCCTGGAGGAGGAGGATAGGGGCAGAGGCTGGAAGTGGGAAGGGGAGGAGGCCGAGGGTTCTGAGCACGGAACCTCCCCAGCTCGGCTGGAGGGGGCAGGGGAAGCTGTCCAGGGAGCCCCTGCTCCATTGGGAGGCGCCCGCCTGGGGCCCCGGAGGCAGCTGGCGTCTAGCAACCCTGCAATTAGGGAAGGAGGCAGAGGAGCCAGGTGGGGGCGGAGCAGGCTGAGGGCTGCAGCTGGCTCCTGGGTCCTGCCTCTGCCTCCAGCCCCCAACCTGCGGCCCCAGAGGCTCAGCCTGGCAGGGCTAGAGGTCTCCCAGGCAGACAAGCTCCTGGGGTCTTCACAGCCATAGGAAAGGCCAGAAAGGTAACATGAACAGCGAAGTCACGCTGGATGTGGGTTTGGTCGACCCGGACCAGTCTGTTGTGGTTCCCATTTTACAGATAAGGAAATGAAAGCCCAGAGAGGGGAGGCAGCTTAGCAGAAGACACACAGCTAACTGGAGAGCAGCCTGGGTCAGAAGCCCCATTCGTCTGGAGGGTTGTGGTTTGAATGCCTGGCTCTGGACCAAGGAGGGGCTGTCTGGTAGTCAGGTTGGGCAAAATGACCTTGGCTGGAGTGCAAGGGCAGACTGCAGGGGAGGAGGCTGGTCAGGCTGGGTCTGGCCCCACTGGTTCTGCAGCCAGTCTGGGCACTCCAGGCCTGGAGGAGAGGCCCTGGCACCACTGCCCGGGGCTACGGCGTTCAGTGCCCCCCTGGCGGCTGCCCTCTAGGAGAAAAGCAGCTGTCCAGCCCCAGCCAGGGGCTGGGTTCCAGCTTCCACCTTCTACCATCTCCACCACCCATCTTCCCTCCACCATCCATCACCATTTCCCTCCTCCCTCTTCCCTGTCTGCTAACACTCGAAGATCCCCACTAAACCCAGGGCACTGTGCAGGCAGCAACCCACTAGTACTCTAGGAATGAGTGGGGCTGGGCCTGGCTGAGGCTGCAGTGGAGTGGGTGGGGTGCAGGGGCCATGTGCAGCCTTGCCCCAGAGGGTGGCATGGGTGGACTCTAGACACAGGCTGCCTGACCTGGGATCCCTGTCTCATGAGATCATTCATCAGCTGTGTGACCTTGGGATAGTTACTTGCTCTCTCTGAGCATAAATTGGGCTGGTGATGATAATAGCCGCCTCCTGAGGCTGTTGGGAAAGATCAGCAAGACACACGGCATGTGAGGCACCCAGTGTGGCTCTTGGCAGTCACCTCTGTGCTGTCGGGAGCCTGGGACAGTGCTGAGCCGTGCATGATGTGCATGTGTCCTGACTGTATCTGGCACTGACCTGGCTCTGTGTGTTTCCTCTCAGTCACTCCAGGGCTCCCCCCTGTTCCAAGGGAAACTGGATTCGGCCAGAGGCGGCACCACGCTCAAGTTCCTGCAAGGTTGGGGCAGAGATCTAGAGGAGATGGGTGCAGGTAAGGTCGGATAAGGGTGGGGACTGCCTACAGCATTCCAAGGAGACATGTCTCTCTGCCCAGCAGCTCTGGCCGTGGGGGAGCGTGAGCCCGGAGTGGCCAGAGGTGCTGATGCCTCAGGAGAGAGAAACCCACACTTTTATGTGAAAACTTCCCATTACTAATATTAGCCATGCATTAAAGGTTTTTTTAAAGCATCATCTGAGCCAAAGCTAATGCTTCTTCTGGCAGGCGCCGCGCCCCGCCCACTGGGAGGCTTGCTGTAGGGAGGGGAGCGCAGGGGGCTGGAGCAGGGACCCAGGGGACCCCGGCTGAGCTGCCCCTCCACAGTGGGGGTGGGAGGCGGCCCTTTCCTGCCATTCCAGGTGCAGCCTGGGGGGAGATGGGCTGTAGGGGGCCCGGCTCAACCCAGTCTCGCCCGGGTGCCATGCCGGGCAGTCTGGGAGCCCGGAAGGGGCCTGTTCTGTGTCTGGGGTGGCCGGGCAGGTGGAGGTGGCTCCCAGGGCTGCTACCAGCAAGGATCTGGCTCCTAGCTCCTGGGGTCAAAGGGCAGCACTTTGAGCCATCCTTGGGCCAGCTTCCTGTTTGGCAGGAAATGGTCCCTTCCCTGCTGTGGCGGCTTCAGGGTGGGGGCTGGAGGGGCGGGAAGTCATCCCCCAGGGGCCCTGGGACCTCTGCCTCCGCAGCAGCAAACCCCACTGGCTGGCACCGTTAGCCAGGCTTAGCTCCCGGCTGGGCTCCTGGGCCGCCTCTGCTCTCCTCCTGGGCCCAGGGCTGGGGTGTCCCTGGGCCCCAGCACTTGGCCTCAGGGAGACCTCACCACTAGGCCACATTTAATGCACTCCTCCCCCTGGTGGGGAGCCCCTTCCTCAGCCTTACCAGACTCCTGGTGCCGGGCTCAGCACACTGGTGCCTCTCCTGCACACCCCAGGAAACAGGGCCTCACCCCCTTCTGCTAGGGCCTCCCCAACCATGCCGCCTCCCACAGGAAGCAAGCCCTGGTGGCTCAGAATTCGCCCAAAGCACTTCAACCCCAGAGGCAGGTCCCCCCTGAGTCCCACCTTGACTAGAAAGGTTCCCACTACGGTGATCCCAACAACCACTCCCATCAGGGTTGCGATGATCTTCTGGTTATGGAAGGTTTCAAAATTAAACATCAAAAATAAAATAAGGGCTGGGGCTGTGGCTCAGTGGCAGAGCACTTGCCTTGCACGTGTGAGGCCCTGGGTTCGATCCTCAGCACCACTTAAAGGTAAATGAATAAAAATTATTATAATTTTGTGGCCATAAAATTATTGTAATTTAAAAAAATAAAATAAAATTACCTGTAATGTTACTATTCCTAGAGCTGAGCGAAAGAGGGTACAGACACAGCTCCCCATTACTATTGTGTCTATGTTTAATGTGCTTACGACACAGTACTGACTGTGCCACACCTCCCTCTGGGTGAACTGCCATTGATCACCTGCACTTCATCCCTGTGCCCAGCTGGCCACTCCCTCCTGTCCAGGGCAGACCCCCAAGTGCTTTGATAATAACTAACCTTTATGTCTCTGGAGAAACTCATCAAATTCTCTTGAAGACTGTCATTGTGTGAGACCACTTGGGGAAACTAAGGCTCAGAGAGGACAAGTAACTTTCCTGAGACTGCACAGCCAGTGAGGACCAGAGTAGAAATTTGAACCATCAGGTAGCAGAAGTGCAGTCTCCACTTTTCCACATGGCTGCGCACAGCATCTCCTCCTTCCAGCTAGGATGCTCCTTCCTTCCTTCCTTCCTTCCTTCTCACATTCATTCATTTTTTAAATTTTTATTTATTTTTTGGGGGAGTACTGGGGGTTGAACTCAAGGGCACTAGAGCACTGAGCCACACCCCAGCCCTATTTTGTATTTTATTTAGAGACAGGATCTCACTGAGTTGCTTAGCGCCTCGCTGCTGCTGAGGCTGGCTTTGAACTTGAGATCCTCCTGCCTCAGCCTCCCGAGCCGCTGCTGGGATTACAGGCGTGCGACACGGCGGTGGGCTCATTCATAAAAAAATCATGTCACTTGATGCTCCTGAGCTCTGGTTCAGTGTCAGGTGCAGGCTGACGCTGACCCCCATGTCCCCTCCTGGGTCAGCCACATTTTTAGGACTCTGCCCCAAGAACTTGAACTCCATTTATTACAAAAGACTGGGTTCTTCGCATGTATTATGAACAGCTCCTGCCAGACCACCAAGGCAGCCCAGTGGGGACCCCAGCAACCTTCCCCGGACAGGCTCCACCCTGCGTAAATCCTGGATGCTGGGGTCACCTGGATTGGGCCCACACAGTCCTGGACGTGCATATGACATACATGAGGCAGGAGTCCCTTCCCCAGGCGTCCTGTGAGGCCATGGAGGGAGGGATGGTCCGTGGTGGGAGCCGTGTCTGTACCCACGGCAGCACAGGCAGCTGTGCCCCTTCATGTGGCTGGTCAGCCTGGGGGTCTGTGGCTTCCGGCCAGTCCTGCCCACCCCTGGGAAGTTCTAGGCCACTTGGATCTGCAGGTCCTCGTCCTCATCTAGGTCACTGGCTCCATCCCCGGCCTCCTCGGTGCCAAAGCGGGTGCTGCGGATCTTCCCGAAGAGGGGGGCGTTCTGCTGCTGCCTGCGGAGCCTGCGGGGGGCAGAGGGTGACGGGTCAGCACGGGTCAGCACGGGTCTGCCACCTCCTGATAACGTGGCTGCAGTTGGGTTGATAGTGGCTGCAGCCTCCCCAGGCCCTGACAGCGGCCAGCACCTTGTGTGACCTCTGCTCTGTCCCTGGTGGGGACTCAGGGAGGAGCTACTGTCAGCCTAATTATAGACAAGGAAACTGGGCCCAAAGACTCTGAATGAGTGCCCCCAGTCACAGGGACAGGCGGCCATGGGGCTGGGCTCTGGGGAGGGGGCTTGGAGAGGTAAGGACCTGGTTGAGGTCACACTGCAGGGCCGGGGTCCCAGGCCAGCCTCCAAGAGCAGAAGGAGCAGGGTTTGGTGGTGGGGGAGGGAGGGGGGGTCTGAGCCCCTCACCTTCCCAAGGTCAGCGGGAAGGTGCTCAGCCCTAGGTCCTCCTGTCAAAATTCCTGAAGCCAAAAACGTGGAGGCCAACTTGGCCTCTAACAAGAGCCAAGGGAGGAAACGCCCCGCCCCGCCCGGCGGCTTCCTGGAAGGCATGAATTATTAACGGACGGGGAGGGGCCGGCGCTCCATTACCGCGCAGTGATTTGTGAGCTGTCCCCGAACATTAAAGTATAAAAAGTGGGCAGCTAACACGAGGCAGCCGTGCTGGGTGGCCCTGCCCGGCCCCAGGGAGGCGCCCGCCTGTTGTGAGAGTTTCTGGCCCCTGAAGAATGTGGCTGAGACTGCGGGGAAGCCCTGGACTAGAAGGCCTTTGGAGGGGTGTGCGCGGCGTGGGACAGGCACAGTCTGCCCAGGTTGGGCTTGACCCTTGGTGGGCCCTTGCGCGACACCAAGGGCATCATCATCTCACGAAGCTGGGGAAACTGAGGCTCAGTCAGCCACAGCACAGCGCTGTCCAGAGCCTGGACTCTCAGCCGTGAGCTGAGCGCACGGCCTCACATAATACATGCTCAATAAATATGGGCTGCTGATGACGGGGTGACCCTGCAGGGCCGCCTGCCATCTGCGTGGCTGTGCAAGGGCTTTCTCTCTTGGGCCTTAGTTTCCTCCTCTGCCTGCCCCCTCGGAAAAAAAGACCCCTTCCCTCCTTTCTCTTTCAGAAGGAACAGGCTGCTTCTGGCACAGTATCTAACCGGCAGCCGGGGTAGTCATGGTGGTAGTAACAGCAGCAGTTAGATCAGCATTGATTGCGCCAGGTGCTTTCATAAGCATGAATCAGCCCACTGAATTCTCCCAATGGCCACGAGGTGAGAACTATTCTCACCCCCATTTTACAGTTGGGGAAACTGAGCCAGAGACGTTAAGTGACCTAAGACTACCAAGTGCCTCAGCACAGAGCATGGACCTTCCACCACCCAGGCAGCCTGGCTGCAGGTAAGAGAAGGCAGGTGACGGCCTGGCCAGTGCCGGGCACAGGGAGGGATGCGGGTCAGTCCTGTGGCCCTGGCTTCCCAGCTGTGGGAATGGGGAGGGCAGGGCCCTGAACTTCTCCACCATCTCCTGGCATTAGGGGAAGTGCAGGGAGAAGGTGTGACTCTCAGAGGGCAGAGTGTGCCTCTGTCAGAGACCCTCTGTCTCACTGTAGGGGCTGATGGTCCTGCTGGCACTGAAGGTCTTGCCTGATATTAGGGCAGGGCCTCTGTATTCCCTGGCCTCCAAACCCTCAGATCCCTTCTGGCCTGGAGTCACCCCAGCCCTGGGGGCTCCTTGTTCTGTCCACGATGCCCAGCCTGCTGGCCCTCCCAGGGCTCTGCTCCTAGGGCCTGACCTCTCTGGCCAGGCTTCCTGCCCTTGCTCCCGCCCACAGCCTGCCGATCCAGGCCTCCAGCTGCTGTGGCTTCCTGCACCCCCCTTGGCTTCCTGGCCCTGGCCCTTCCGGCCTGGAAGGGACAGGATTTGGGCCCCAGGACCTTTCCTTCCCCGTCCCTGCTCTGGCTCTGGGGGGGCTCCGGGCCTGGCAGGTTTCCCTGAGCCACACCTGGGCCGCGGGCCCTGGCCACGCAGAGGCCCCTGTGGCCTACCTGGACTGCAGGTGCTCCAGCTGCACCTGAAGGTTCTCGCTCTGCTCCGTCTGCTCGTCCAGGGACCGCTGCAGTTTGCGCGCCTGGTTGTGGGCCTCGTCCAGCTGCGGGGTGAGCAGGGACCAGAGCCCAGGGGTCACTGTGGGCAGGGACAGCCAGGCCAGACACTCCTCCCCTCCACGGTGGGGCCGTGTTTGCTCCTAAGGCCTGGCCTGAGGTGCTGTCACTCCTGTGCCCTCCCCAATCCACTCATCCTCCAGTGTCCCCAGCCACTGGTCCACCCACCTGTCCCCTCAGCCTGCATGGAATGCCCACTCCCCTCGCTATGGAAAACCTAATCAGCGCGCTCCACCCGCCTAGTCCTGTGCCCACCTCCCCGACACCCCCACCCCCAGGAGCCCTCCCTCCTTCCCTCTGTCCACTCATTCTTCTGCCCATGGATGTGGTCAGCTGTCCAGCTATCTGACCACGGTCTACGCGTCCAGGAGCTGTCTGTCT